TCTGATTGAGCAGTTTCCAGAACACATCTCATACGTTTATTTACCTGTACTACTTGGTTTGTATCGGCTATACAAACGTTAGTTTAACCTTCGTCATTGCTTGCTTAATTAAGAATCATTGCGGGCTACCTTCTGCATTCAATTATTGGATCCTCAGCGATTGTTGTCGAGATACTGACCAGTTTTTGACCACCGTCGGTCGCAGCATCTCTTAGAAACCTGACTTGTACACTCCGTTAATTCGACTCTGCGACAATGGTCCCAATCGCCAAAGTTTGTCATCTTCATAGTAGTCCTCAAAGTGCACTAAGCAATCCATGCGTTATATGCTTGAGCCCATACTACTGGTCTGCTATCTCCCGTCAGAAAAGCCTCTCAGCGGTTCACTTGCGTTGAAAAATCTAAATGCTCAGACGGGATAACGTCGTGATCTCACTCTACAGAGTCAACCTAAATAAGAAAGGGAACCGCGTTCTTTGCTGAGTGAACCAACAAATCCTTTTTCAAAAATCGGTAAAAACCTTATCGTTAAGGCACACGGGATCGTAACCTACAAAGCCAGTACCAACAGTAAATGATCTCTGTCCCAACAAATTGTTGGCTTATTGTCTTAGATGATTAATTTTCATGTTTACGATCTTGGCGATCGATACAATAGGTTTTTTGAAACGGAAACTGATCATGATTGAATTTAAGTAGCGGGCATGCCTAAAGAATAGTACTTAGATTTATATATTTGGAATAAGCAACTTCGTCCAACTTCTGTATTCAAGAATTCGAGTTAAAAGGAAAGACAAGGTCAATAATATTTTGGCACCAAACTCTGAGAGGTCTTTCGGTTAAAACATCACTACTACCCGAAGGCGTATAAAGCATATTGGTTATCTCACCGTGTCTCAAGTAGTTGATGCGAATTATACTGGATATTAATATAAGCTAAGTTAAAATTTCGAGTTAAGTTTTCTCCAGCCGCCAGGACTTTGGCGTTGTCTTCTACCATTCTGTCAGTCTATGCCTCTTTTCATTATTTACCTTAAGCTACTGGACGGTCACTGAATCCCCGCAAAAATGAACGGTATGCTAATGGAATCCAATGGAACAGACGTAAAAAAATCAACTCGAAGGAGGAAGCCCAAGACTAACTCCACACCTTCTAACGATGCCCCTGCAGACAGCTTCAATCCCGAACCTCCTGTGACTTCCTCTGCCTATCCTCCATCAATCGCCCCAACCACCCTCGAACGCTCCCTTGCCTCAATTTCCCACGTTAATGGGGGTCCCGATATTCCTTCGTTTACCATTCCTGCGTCATCGTCCCTCAAGCAAAAGAAGAAGCCGAAGAGAAAGAAGAAGTCTGCCAATTCTGCCGCCGCAGACGGAGACACGGATGAGGATGAGAATCCCTGGATGCCCGTCAGCTCGAAGAAAACGAAGTTAACAAAATCCCAGAACAACAAGGAGGCTGTCGAACCAACAGCAGCGCCTATCGCTCCCGGAACCACCGATGTGTCTGAAAAGAAGAAGCGGAAAAGGAGATCAGGTAAGGAAACTGATGTTTGTAAAATGTATATGTGCAGGCGTTGGTTGCTCATCAGAAATATTTTTGTCAGCAGAGGACAGTAATAGTCTTAAGCTTCTTCGACCCTTTGTGGGTGGCGTACTAAGCCTCGTGTGACTGACGACATGATCTTGGTTATTGGAGATTATTTTGCGAGGAAATAAATTTGTCTATTTATTAAATATAACCCATTTTTTTATCAGCCTAAGGGAGCAACTGTAGTGCTTTTACTTTTTAAACACGGAATTACCGAGCCGCTACCTCTTACACTTTCTCATTATTATTATTTGAAAACTGAAATAGCAAGTTAGACGAATTTG